GGCCAAGTCATATAAACAAATACTTATAAAAATGGTACTAAAAGCTGCCTCACTTGGTGCTTAGCATTAAGAGATTAGTGTTAGGACTGGTTGACCTAGTTTGATTGGGTGGAACTTGATGCTACATGTCTATGGCATGATGCTTCAGTGCTAGACATCACTATAAACTGTGACACTGCAGACATCATAGTGATATAACTGAAAAATTGCAAAATCACACACACACACACACACATACACACACGTTAAATCATAAAATGTCATTGCCATACCAAGTTCTTTAGGAGGGCATTTGATATTGGTACATGCAAGATGTATCCACTTAAACTTGAAACTGCAGGTTCCATCACACACTATTACATCATCTCCATCAGCCAAATTGCATGATTTTTTAATATAGCAGAAGACCTCATTGTCTTCTGAAAATAAAGAAATGCAACCTGTGATGTGGTTTCTGTCTTGCGCTGTCTGTCAGTAATTCTATCTTCCTCTGAATCAGTAATTCTGATTTTGTATGTCACCAGTTATGTCATTCTTCTATGTGTCATTAGTTATGGCTTCCTGTCTGTGTGTTAGTAATTCTGTCTCCCTCTGTTTGTTACTAATCTGTCATACCTCTGTGTCATTAATTCTGGCTTTCTGTGACAGTCATTAATTCTGGCTTCCTGTGTCTATGTGTCATTAATTCTGGCTTCCTGTGTCTATTTGTCATTAATTCTGGCTTCCTCTGTCTATGTGTCATTAATTCTGGCTTCCTGTGTCTATGTATCATTAATTCTGGCTTCCTGTGTCTATGTGTCATTAATTCTGGCTTCCTGTGTCTATGTGTCATTAATTCTGGCTTCCTGTGTCTATGTGTCATTAATTCTGGCAGGCACTGTTGTCTCCAGGAAATATGAAGCTTGTTCATCATGAACTTTTGACTTGCTTGACCTCGTTAATAGCACAAGCTTTATTTTTCTACAGCAAAGCTGCAAAGTGAATACTGGAACATATTCATTTGAAGCTTAGGCTTTTGCATAGAAGCGATGGTCGTTTTTTAAATCATAGTTTGGTGGCAGGCAAAATTAATGGCACTGGAGATTTCATTTGCAGTGACATCCATTAATGTATTTTTGGAATTTTATCTCTGCAACTGAAATGCCACAACATGAACATGAAAAGAGTATGAGAGAAGTACCAATACACTCTTTTTCTATCCACACACCTAATCCTGTCCTGGTAATTTTCACATTATGGTGTTGTGTGGATATGGCAGCTTTGCAGTGATGAAGTGCAGTAGTTTTGTGCAAACAGCACCATTGCACCAAGTTTTTTTCACTTGTATATGTACAGAATCGCAAATTTTTTTAGATTATGATGGGACAGGATGGTCAGTATTGGGACGGGACAGTCTGTAATGGGACAGGACAGTCCATATTGGTGTGTAGAACACTTTATGCCACAGATACTGTTATTAAGCCAGTTCTTTGTTTATGCCATACCACTGAACTAAACTGACTTTTTGTTATACTCCATTAAGTACCAGTACTCCTTTGTATTGGCAATGACTGCAACAGATGGGAATATTTAATATGGTGTTTTCATAGGTTTACTATGGAAGGTTAATTAGTACTGAGTCCCACATGCTGGCACTGAGAAAAGTTTTTAAACAGTTTCAAGCTGTTTTGCAAACCTTTTCTTGTTTCATTCTGATTGTGTCGGTCACATGCTGGGAACTACGTTTAAAAAGAAGAGACCCTTTTTGTCGTCTGCTATGTCTGATGGAATTTTTCTAAAATCAGCCAGCAACAACAGATACATAGCAGAAATAAAGAAAAATTTACTCATAAAGAAACTTAAATTCTCCCATACTTTGATAGCATACCATACACAATATTTTAAGAGAAAGATGTTCATGCACACAAGGTGGAGCTACTGGTATTATGCTAGAAAGTACAGGTCTTTACATCATGGCAAATTTTTTTTATATCTAATTCAGTAAATTTTCAGATCAATGTCATTAAATGTAGCTAAAAGTGCTGAATTTGTTTTAAATACATCATGTACAAACAATTAGGAACATTTAGCATGATTTGGTGATGATGACCTGACAATTTACTGAGCTACTAAAATCCAAACTCAATTGAGCATCTGCAGCACAGGCAACAACCAGAAATGTGTTGTGTCAGACCCATATTCGTCAAACTTTGTCAAAGACCCCCAAGTATGTTTCAGTTTGCACATGTATAGAACTTGCGTACTTTGAATAGACTGGTCATACTACTGACTTAATATTTCTAGGAGTGGCATGAAGATAATTATTCAGATCTTGCTAATAGAGTACCAGACCTGATGACCTTTATATAAAAATGAGAGGCAGTATTAAATGATTAATCCCTTTTTTATGTTGAGTCTGATAACTGTAATGCAGAAATGCAGGATTTATTTTAATAAAAAAAATATGTGAGAAAAAAATTCTGTGTCAGTGTTTGTACCTAGACAAGCAGGGAGAATAATAATTTAACCTTGCAACTGGGATTTCCCTGTCTCGGCCCAAACCCCAGCATAGATTCAATGACACTGACCCAGCAGATTGGGTTGGTATTGGTTGGTATTGTCAGTTTGAAAGTGGTCATCAAGAATAATTTGCTGTTATATATATATATATATATATATATATATATATATATATATATATATATATATATATATATATATATATATATATATAAAACATGTTTTCTGTTTTTCCTTTAATGTGATAAAATAAACCATTTAAGAAAACATTTACTCTGTATACTGAAAAATCCAGCTGGTGAGATGGATTGGCTATTAATCTTTTGCACCAGTCCATTATGAAATTAATTGGTATTGGATGGACTTCCTGCTGGCAATTTTGGATGCTGATAGAGGTCTGGCATCAATTGTTTTATAGTAGGATGAAATTCATATTTAGGGATTTTGGGATGGTCACAGCATCATCAAAAAAAAAAAGAAATAGCTTTAATTGAAGTGATCTAGATTGGCAGTAATTGCAATAGATGCTTCCCAATAAGGTCACTAGCAGACGATATTCTGCCCATTTTATCTGGATGATGTGCAACCTGACAGTTTCACCTATATGCGCTCACCAAATTTTACCATTTTTAATAAGGCACACTAAAGCAAAGCCAATGATAAATCATAAATACAGATACTGACAGAAAGCCTGATTTTACTTCCGTTTACATCTGTAAAATTTTCATAAAAAGTATCTACTCCCTAACACCATATAAAGTCATCTGCGGTAAATCTGCCAGCTGACCACAGATGTGGCTGCTGATGACATCATTCGGGAACTATCTATTGGCGATCATCGTACTGTGTAATCGGGGACGAATGAAAGTACAAGCTCTTAGTGTAAGTGTTTTAAGGAACCTGAAATAATTCATAGATATTTTTTTAAACAGGTAATTTTAATTTAATCAGGTACAGTATCAATACTGCAAATTCAAGATTACTTTCTGGTTACTACATAATTATATTTTACTTAACTGTTATTTTGACTTTTATGTTTGAAACAAAAGACAAAAAAAGGTGCAAGGACATTTTTTTTTTTTGTTAGGTGCAAGGACATTTTGTTTCATTAAAAAATTTTATTACCCAGAATGCAGAATACATAAATTTGTAATTTTCTAGAGATGGGTGCAGGTCCAGCTGGAAACAGATTTATTACATGTTTTTTTTCTCCAACCCCATCAACACATTGTCTACCTGTATATCCCCCACCCCCATGTAATTATTGGATCTTCCTTCAAGAGAAATATGATCAAAATTGATCCAAAAGTAAATCTGCAATGTAAGATGTATGTAATGAAATGAGTTACTCTATAAAGAAGCTAGTTTGTGATCATATTTGTTCAGATATTGTAATTTAATTACTTTCATTTGAAATTACTTTTATCCCAGATCTGTAGAATTACTGCATTCACTCTATCATTGCAGTCTTATTTATTATGCCAAACCACAAGTGTGATAACGATGTTTAATGTTGCCATTGACACACATTATCTTTCTATTTTTATCACACCTTAGTGATAATAATAATGATAGCAATAAGATCCTTTATTTTTCATGGCTAACATAATAGCTGAGAGGTAATTAAAGTTATGACCCAGTGATTAAGCCAGATATGTGTGTAATTAGTAAGAAACCACATGGTTAATGTATCATGTGTACAAAAGAATACAGATACAATGTAAAATAGTATAAATTATACAAATTTTACATACTGTTATCACAGATATTTCACAGCTACATGTACTATATACAGATGTGCTGAGGTCATAAAATCTGGATTGCTCATGAAAATATTTGTAGAACCCTGGAAAATCACAGGAAACATTAGGTGGTTGTTTAATAACATGCTGCAAACTGTTTAATAAAACCCTGAGAAATCATAAACTTTTTTTTTTGAATATATAAAATCAACAGCACTTGATAAATTTCTGTAGAAAAATCCTACTGGCCAGCATTGTTTGGCCAATTGATCTTTTAGTTGGATTTGAGACAACTGTCAGGAGAGCAGTCGTATGGCCACTTGGGTCACTTGTTTTATAAATGATGCTATTCCACCATCAAACATGGCTGCTGTTGCTAAAAATGAAAACCATTGAACATTTTCTTTTAAAACAGCAGATGAACATAATGTAACCAATTTTGAGAGAATTAATCTGGTTTGTCATTTAACTTTTGTAACCATGATGTTCTTCTCTCACCTAATATGGACATCTTAATTTGTTATTCAAATGTCACCTCATAGGCTAAATTAGATAGAGAGAAATGGCAGCAGTTTTCCATCCAATTTATAAAATTAGAAAATCATTCCAAAGGCCACAGATGATCATGAATGACAGTAAATAGCAGTATATTAAAAATATTAGAGAGAGAAACAACAGCATTGGTTTGTTTGTACATCAAGGTTGTAGATGAGTTCAGTTATGAGTGAGAGCCACATGAATCAATGAGGATCTAGGCTGATCAGAGAGTGGGAATTGAACCTATAACCTTCTGATCACTAGTCCATTGCCTTAACTGTTGGGCCACCACAGATCCCTTGTGTGACTAGCTCCATGGTTTCCAAGTTATGACTCCAAGGAATTGAACCCAAAAGGTTAAGGACAGGCCCAGGAATCCATGATTAATATACTGATTGTATTAACATTTAATGCCAAGAAACATAACTAATGTGCTTGGTATATATATATATATATATATATATATATATATATATATATATATATATATATATATATATATATATATATATATATATATACACACACTAGTCTATACAAGCTGGTTGTATTTATAGGTTTAACACATGTGGAGACAGCCATGTAGAGGTTTACAAACACAACGTTTTTGTGTTTATTTGTTTGTCGTATATATGTTTTGTATTTGTCTTTGAAAAAGACTCATTAAGAGTCCAAAGCGCTTAGGCTAGTTAGTTACTAGTTTCGTACTGTTCGTTGTCAGTTTATTGCATCTATTTTAATTAATCCCTGACACACATGATCCCTTGGTGGATCCAGTAGCTTGAAAGGGCTGTTCTTCGCCATATGATTTGTATTCTCTATATATATATATATATATATATATATATATATATATATATATATATATATATATATATATATATATACACACACACACATTACATACATGCATGCATACATACACTTTAAGGGTTGAGCTGTGAATAATTTGTGAGTTATGAATCAGGTCCTGTTCCTCATGGACTGGAAGAAATCAAGTGGAGAATGTTGACTATATAAGATGTGCTTTGTATACAGGGAAAGTGATCAACGATAAATAACAGATCCACGATAAATAACATGTCCTTTGTATACTGAGAAAGTGATCCATGATAAATAACATGTCCTTTGTATAATGGGAGAGTGGTCGATAAATAACATAGTTTGTATACTGGGAAAGTGATTTATGATAAATAACATATTCTTTTCTATACCGGGAAAGTGTCCAATGATAAATAACATATCCTTTCTTTACTGGGAAAGTGATCCAATGATACATAGCCTGTCCTTTGTATACTGGGAAAATGATCAATGATAAATAACATGTCCATTCTATACTGGGAAAGTGTCCAATGATAAATAACATGCCCTTTCTATACTGGGAAAGTGATCCATAATAAATAACATGTCTTTTCTATACTGGGAAAGTGTTCTATGATAAATAACATGTCCTTTCTATACTGGGAAAGTGATCCATGATAAATAACATGTCATTTCTATACTGAGAAAGTGGTCCATGATAAATAACATATCTTTTCTATGCTGGGAAAGTAACAAATGATAAATAACATGCCCTTTCTATACTGGGAAAGTGATCCATGATAAATAACATGTCATTTCTATACTGGGAAAGTGATCCATGATAAATAACATGTCATTTCAATACTGAGAAAGTGGTCCATGATAAATAACATATCTTTTCTATGCTGGGAAAGTAACAAATGATAAATAACATGTCCTTTCTCTACTGGGAAAGTGATCCATGATAAATAACATGTCCTTTGTATACTGAGAAAGTGATCCAATATAAATAACATATCTTTTCTATGCTGGGAACGTGTCCAATGATAAATAACATGTCCTTTCTTTACTGAGAAAGTGTCCAATGATAAATAGCATGTCCTTTCTATACTGGGAAAGTGTCCAATGATAAATAACTTGTCCTTTCTATACTGGGAACGTGTCCAATGATAAATAACATATCCTTTCTATACTGGGAAAGTGATCTATGATAAATAACATGTCCTTTCTATACTGGGAAAGTGATCTATGATAAATAACTTGTCCTTTCTATACTGGGAAAATGATCCATTGCGTGATACAATATTTTAATCCTTTGACCCTTACCATTACATTTTTTTGTATTTGGACACCAAGATAAATGTTGAAATATCAGAAATGGGGTGGCATGGGTGAGGGAAAACTAATATTAACTGTATATATGATCTAGGAAGGAAGACAAATGACACCAGCATTAATAGACAATGAAGCAACTGTGTGTTCCAAGTTTTATTTCCGCTCAGCAGTTTTAGTATTGTGTGAAATTTTAATAGACAATGAAGCAACTGTGTGTTCCAAGTTTTATTTTCGCTCAACAGTTTCAGTATTGTGTGAATTTGCATTCACAAGCAGACATCTGTAAACTACTCAGGTTTGTGATTATTCAGGCCACTAGTGTTTTATTTTGGAATTAAGTTTACAGAATGGATAATGTGTTTTAAAATAACATAGTGTCACGGTCTAGTTAATGGGCAGTGGTCAACATGGTTTGATATATTGAAGGAACCTAATCTTTTTACTTTATGCTGTTGTGCAGATATTTTTCCATCTAGTCAGGAAATGCTGCAGTGTCAAGTGAATGAAGAAAATTATAGAGACTTAAATACTTGTATATCTTATTTTGTTTGACTACTTTGTATGTGTGTTTGTTTGTATGGATGGATGGATGGATGTATGTATGTATGTATAAAGGGATGGATACATGTATGTATGTATATATGTATGTATGTATGTATGTATGTATGTATGTATGTATGTATGTATGTATGTATGTATGTATGTATGTATGTATGTATGTATGTATGTATGTATGTATGTATGTATGTATGTATGTATGTATGTATGTTTTTTTAAGGCAGTTGTTGGTGAAATGATACAAGTGTAAATGAATGATCAAAGTGAAGAAAATGCATCATTTAAATATGTAAACTCACTGCAATCCATGTTTGAAACTGACACTCATGCAAGAATTTCTTAAAGTTAAGTATATTCATAAAAACGATCAACCCCAAATTAAATGAGTTTTTTTATATAGCTTTTACATGAAACATTTGGGCAAACTGACATTTATAAGGGTGAATTTTTTCCCCCAGATTGCATGGAACTTAAAACACTTGTCTCTGAAATAGGTTTTTATTAGCTTTTACAATGGCATGTAGATAAGCAGACAGATGCAGTCTTAATCCCATTTAGTAAGGTGGCCATGGCACATAATTGACAATGTAGAAATGATTGTGCAATACCATCCAATTAACTTTCTTCCTTTCCAAGTCTCACTTTTTCTGCTGAAATCTTTAAAATATATACATGATGCATACATACTTGCTATTATTGAAGTTTTCGTACTGTGTAAATTGCACAATACTTTTTATCCATGATTGTTGAGCAGTTTAATTTTGAAATCTGTGAACACAAAACACCCAAACTTTGGTGCTCAGGCCAGTTACTGTAGGGTTTAACTTCAGCACAAGATAGGCTGGCTATACATGGAAGCCAGTAAAAGTGGTGGAAGAAGAACCCTGGAAAACCCCAGGAATAACCAATGACCCATGAGAAGCTGCTGGCAAGCTTTATGTGCCCACATTAGCCAAGCCAGAGACTTGGACTCATAGACTGATGTGTGATGGCAATGATCCAGAACAGAGAACTTTTAGACCACTTGACCACTTGGTGCTATAATGTCTTAAGCAATAACTTTTTTCTCATAAACCATGAACAAATTTTGAACAAATCAGAAAACCTATTAGCACAGATTACTTGGCAGATTGCTCTTGCATTAGGCTGCTTGCCTCAGCTAGGTGATTCACTTTGGGCCCACTTGGGTTTCTTGTTTGACAGTGCTGTGGGCTTCCTCTATCAATTTCCTGTCTGCACTGATGAAAGTTGCCTGTTGGAGTTCCATGATACATACATGTAGCTTGGGAATGATCCAACAGATTCTGATGCAGTTTGGTAAGCCAGTATACTTGCTTTTTATATTTAGGTTGTACGTCTTCACCTCATTTTAGGAAGAGTTTTCCCTATTTCACACCCTCAGTGTTTTCATCTTGATTTGATAATGTCTGTTTTGTGTCCATCCCCAAAACATTCTTAGCCAATTAATGTAGACAAATTATGTTAGCATATAGATCAATGTATATATGATTTGATTAGATAATCAAGCCATTACAGCATATTTTGTATGTTTTTTAGTATGTTGCTGTTGTACATATTTTTAACATCATTTTCCCTGAAACCCATTACCAAGGATTATCTAAAACTACTTGAATTAAATAAATTTAGTTATTATATGTGTATTTATATGTGATTTTTTGACCATTAGAGTAATTTTCAATTATGGTTTCCTCCTTTTTGAGAATATAGTGTATTGTACATATATGATGGATTCCCATCTTTCCACAACTTATCACACATTTCCATCATTCCACAATTAGTCAAACAGATTTTGATGGATTACTATATTTCCTTAACTGATCTCACAAATTTTGATGGATTGCCATGAAACTTCATCAGTATTATGGTCATCACTTGAAGATGTGCACTTTGCTTCTAAAAGTTTTGTTTGAATTGTCACCTTCCTTGCCTTTTAATTGTGTATCAAACATGAATGCATCTTGTCTCGCATTTTGTAGCTTTACTGGTCATAAACCAGCAGAACTCCTGAGATTGTCTATTGTCCATTTTTCCTTTAGTTTTCTACACCTCCTAAACTACTTGGAGGATTACCGTGAATACTTAAACACATTCATCCCATGGTCTAGTTCATCCTAAATGATAATGGTGATGCCAGGACATCCAGTATGGCCACCACAGTGGCCTTCTTGAAAATCTTGTTATTGCTACTCCTCATATTGAATTATTGGTCATACATGTATAAAAATTGGGTTTTCAGTAGATGGCTTTTTTTTATGTCCATTTGTTTTTTAATGAAAATGATGCTAGTCTGGATGTAAAATATAGCTGCCATGGTGACCATCTTGAAAATCTTGTTATTGCTACTATGTCTCAGTAAAACTTCATGCTGATGGGGAATTTTCACCAGAAAACTTTTTATGAAGTCTTGTTGGTCTTAAATGAAAATTGTGTTACAAGCACATCCACACATTAGATATCTTGAAAATGGTGCTGTTGCAAATCTACCCGAATGGATGGCCATATCATCCTGGGATTTTCACTAAAATCCTTTTATCATATCTAGTTGGTCCTAAAAGAAAATTGTTCCAGTCTAAAATCCAA